CCCTCAGGGGTCAAAAATCATTTTGGCTAAGCCGAATTTCCCGGCCAGAAAAATCTCGTCTTTTTCTTGCAAATAACCACCTTGAATTAGTAATTCAGTTAACATTTCTCCGGTGCGAGGATGAAGATAACTATCAATTACTACCCCACTCGCCGGACGTTGTCAGTTGGTTCGGTAATCAGCCAGAAGCAAAATGTTTTCGCATAAATAATTGACACTTTTTTCCTGCTTGGCATTGCCGGAGATAAATATCGTATCACCACCTCAATCTAGAGGGGTCAAACCTCGCTCTTGGCATTGCGATTTAATGCGGTCTAAAGTAGCCTCGTTATCCGTTTCATTCGGTCTTTGGTGATTAATAAAGACCACGACCGGCAACTGATAGTCTTGTAAATAACTAATAATTTCTTCGGTTTGCAACATTACTCCATCACTAGCACTAATTACTAAAATTACTATATCGGTTAGAGAAATTCCTCGCTGCCGCATACGAATAAAATCACTATGACCGGGGGTATCCAAAAAAACAATTTTTTTTCCTTGAAATACAATTGGCGAAACACTGATTTTTTGAGTGATTCCTCCTACTTCTTTTTCTTGGTAATGGGTTTGGCGAATAGTATCCAATAAAGTTGTTTTTCCATGGTCAACATGTCCCATAATACTAACAATCGGAGGACGCTCCTTTAATTGGGCTTTATCGTTAATTTTAGTTAAATATTCAGTAATTATCTGTCTTCAATCCTTCGGCTTTTTCTTCCTTAATTTAATTCCACTATTTCGACAATAGTCTTGTAACCAATCTAACGGTAAATATTGACTTCTACCCACGGTTTTTCCTTGGTCTCAAAAATAGTTAATAATTTTGCTCGGGGCAATTCCTAAAAGCGTGCTTAATTCCTCTACACTCATTTTTTCGGTCACATAGTAAAGGCAGTTATTACGAAATTCACTAACATTATCTGCCAAGTTGCGGCGAATAATCTCAACCAAAGAAACATTATGCATAAATTATTTTTATTTTTAAGAAAGAGTTTTGCTGAATTTTCTAGTATTTTACCAAAAAACACCTCCATCAAACTTTTAGTAATAAATATAACTTCACCTAAAAAAGCCACTCACAAAAAAACCGCAAGCGGGAACACAAAAAAATTTTGGTTTCTCACAGATAATAAACTTGCCAAGGTAAACAAAATAGTATAATAAATAAATATTATGCCAAACGCCCAAGAATGACTACAACAAAATTATCCGAATAAGGAAAAAGTTAGGGAAATTATCCACTTCTCAGATCTCACAGGCAAATTAACTATTGCCGATTTTCCCCAGTTATATGAAATAAATGTAATTGATTATCAATTAACTCAACTCCACCTAAAAAATTGCCCGCAATTAAAGCATTTAGTTTGTAGAACAAATGCTCTTACTGAATTAACTATTACCAATTGCCCTAATTTACAGGAAATAAGTGCTTCCGAAAATCAATTAACCAGCCTAGATTTAAATAATTTACCTAACTTAGAAAAGGTTTCATGTTGAAGGAGCAAAATCACCGCCAACCTTAATATTTTTTCGCACTTAACCAAATTAAAAACCTTAGATTTAGGAATTGACGACAAAATGAAAAAAACCAACCCCAACCGCAACAATAACTTTTCTGGCTCCTTAAAAGCCCTAGAAAATTGTAAAGATTTAGAGTATTTATGTATTGGCTATCAACCAAATATAAAAGGAGGTTTAGAATACTTGCCAGCCGAAAAACTTACTTATTTTGGTTGTGACGGGACAGAATTTAAAGAAATGTCAAAACCTTTTAATTATGACATTAAAGCCTGACAACTTGCTAGTCCTGAATTAAAAGCGAAACATAAAGAAGTAGCGGAAAAAGAAAAGCTTATTGAAGAATTAAGCAAAAAAATAAAAGAGAGTGCAAAGAAGTTAGAAAAAGCGAAAGAAAGCGAAGAAGATAAAACCCAAAAAATCGCTCGCTTAGAAAGTCAAATTCAAATCCTAACCAAAAATAAAGAAAAATTAGCAACTGAAATTGCGAAAGAAAAAACAGACCACCAACAAACTAAACCAAATCACCAATCCCAACTTAAAGACCTAACCACCATACTATTTCCTAGTAATAGTTGTAATAGTTTTGCTAATTTTGCTTTTGCTGATTTGAAAAAGCAAGCGAGCCAAATTATCCAAGAAAACCAAGAAGCCCAGGTCAAAATCTCAGAATTAGAAAGTCAAATTAGCAATTTGAATCAACAACTCTATTCTATTCAACAACAAACCGCAATTAGTCAAGGAGAAAACCTAAAAACCGCTATGGAAAAGGAAACAAATAGTAATCGTTTAGCGAACGAAAATTATTGAGATAAACAAATCCAAGATTTAACTGATGATAAATTACCTGATGACAAAAAAACAATTACTCTCCAAACCAGACGAAGAAATCATTATAATCAATTAGTTAAATCAGCAAACCAAACTACCCAATTAGTAGCCCAAATGCAGATTGCTCCGAAATAAATAGTAATAATTTCTATTATATTTCTCTTCTGCTGAATTTACCACCTTGTTAAATGGCTAAATTTACGAAAAGAATGTCGAAATTTAGAACTAAAAAAAAAAAAAAAAAAGAGAGAGAGAGAGAGAGAATGCGGTAGGAGACTATATTGGAGATTAGGAATTCCAGCAGTTTCGTTAGGGCTTACTCTGGGCTGTGGAATATTGAGTAAATTAGTGGAGAGGAGAATGCTTTTCCTTGCCCGAATAAGTAATGTCGTGGGTAATATTTCGGGCTTGGTTTTCCTTATTAGTTTGCTAGTGCTGCTGTGATTTGTGGGCAATTCCCGTATGGATTGTAATCGGTGTGGGACTTGGTTTTGGAATTGGTTAGATTGGCAAAAATTATGTTTTGCTTGTCGGGAAGTCGACCGACGAGAAAAAGAGGAGGAAGAGGAAAGAAAAAGGAGGGACAATAAAGGGAATTAAATAAGGACTTAGGCTTTACTTTTAACTAGCCTTTTTGGTTAGACAATAAATTATAGGGGAAGGAAAAAATATAAGCAAATTAACAGGTAAAAAGCATTAAAAAGTTTAAGACTTTAAGACTAACATTTATAACATTGCTCTTTCTCCTCCACTTCCTTTTTTAATACTCCTATTCAGTGCTTTATTTTGCTTTTTTCGACTTCGGTTCGTTCGGGGTTTGCTAACTCTTTTTGGAGTTGGGAAATTTCGGTTTGGATTTGAGTTTTATTCATGCTTGCTTTTCGTTCTTCTTGCTTCTCTGTTATCCGAAAAAGGCCTTTCCAATCCTATATCTTTCTCGGGGCAAGTTCGGTGTTTTATCTCTCCAACCAAAAAATTTCCTTCGGGCTTCGTTGCTGTATCTTTTCAATCTATTGCTAAAAAATGGCCATAATAATCGATTAAATAATTTTCGTTATCTTTATCTTGCTGACTAAATTGTTGCTGGCATTTATCACAGCCGAAAACACAAATCCCCTCCTTTTCTAATTTCTCTCTTTTGGCTACTCCTGCCTCAATATCGTCGGAGTATTCTTTTACTGTCTTTGTTTTTGTTTCTTCAAAAATAGTTAAGGTTCTCATTTTAGGTTTCTATTATACTTTATTTTTACTCCGAACAGTATTCGGGGAATTTAGTTCTTAATTTGGCT